TCTCATGCAGCATAAAGTCTAGTAGAGAAAATATATTACATTTATGGGTCACATGCTAATCATTTAATTACAGTTTTTTCAAGAGGTGAAGCCTGAAGGAGCAAGCTGGAGATAGCAAAATTAACCAGTCTGTCAAAGAACACAAGGACCCAAAAGACAAGCTTTTGTCTCTTTCTTAGCTTTGCTGTGTCTAGCCCTCTCTCATCAGAAGATGAATAGAATTAGGGTGCTGAGCATGACTTCCTTACTGAAATGGTTATAACCACCCTCTCAGGACTGGGAACCGGGTTTGATTTTTGACTCCACCAAGTACTTTCTGCATGGTATTGGGTAAGCTACTTAAACGTTTTCAGCCTCACATTGTGCATATTTGAATGGGGTGGGTGTTAAGACTTACTAGAAGCTATGGTTGACTAAATGGCATGATGCCTGTAGAGTCCTCAGTAAATATTAGCTATTATGATTATCCCCTAGGATTCTCCTAGGACAACATTTCAGACGCATTCTTGTCGAAGTTAGCAGTAGCCAGCTTTAGGGTTAGAGGTGAACAATGGTTAATTCTGAAACAAAGCTATCTATGTTCAGAGCTCATGATATATCTCTGGCTCTTGGTGTAGGGTATTTGGGGAAGGTTAAAGGACCAAACAAAGCTATTTGAGTTGCCATGGCTATATCATGAAGGACCTATGAACTTCAGGAAATTTCAAAATTCTGAGACAACATGGCATGAAATATATATTGTTAAAATCTCCATTCACAGATAGACTGAAAATGCACATGGAAGGGATTTTCCATTCATGATCTGCTTTTGACTTGGACATTTTGCTTTTATTTTATGGTGAAGGGTCAAAGAGAGTAATGATGGTGATAGAGTTGTTTCTAAAGTGGAGGAGAAGCTGGAAATGTGAGACAAGGTGGAGGGAATGGAGTTTAGGCTTAGGGGCATAACTGAAAAAAGTCTGGCCACTAGGATTAGAATCAGGTTGGTACGCAGACTTTTCTCCTTTACAGAGAAGTCACAAAGCATGTATAGCTCCCGAAGGTAGGTAAGTTTACCTTCTCTGTCTTTAACATTGAATAGAATTATGGCTGGGGTTTGTAGGCGGCTGGTTACATCACACTTTGAGGGGGGTTTTCCTCTTGGAAAGGAGCCTTCGTCTAATGTTTCCCACATGTTGAAGGTGTTCAGACTGGACCGGGATAAGATTCAAGGGGATTCCCTACAATCTTCTCAGAGTGAGAAGTATTTGAATCATAATCTTTCTCTCTCAGGCTTCCCCTGAATTTGTAGCTCAATTTGTGGCTTGGAGCCTACAACCATTTCCAAATTGTCCTGGGATTCGTGGCCCCAAGGCCGATTTCACTTTACCTACCAATCAACCCTTTTAAAACCAGATGTTTGGCTCACCTGTGTGCCTACTTTTCTGAGATGAAAAATCAGCAGGAGTGACCTGACTGCTACCTCTAGTTTCATTCTTCTCTCTTCCAGGGGCTGAAATTTGAACTTTCCTGTTTCCAGGCAGAGAGTTGCACCACTGAGAGCTGACCTTTGCTGAGAACCATGCAAAATGATACATGCAGGGCTATTCTGTAAAATCAATAGGCACCAATGACAGCTGGGGTCTTCTCCACGATCTTGATCATTCACTGAAAGACACCATTAAAGGTTCTAAACTTGGTCAGCACAGCCTGACTTCAGAAGGCAATGTAGCACAGCAGAAAGAACAGTAGGGTATTAGTTAGAAAGCTTGGGTCAAAGCCAGCTCTGCCCCTCAATTACAGAAAGACCTCAGATGAGTCACCTAACTTCCTTGGGTGTTGATTTCTTTAGCCATAAAATTGAGCTAGTAATTTATAATTTGTAGTGTTAGAGTGAGAATTAAATGAAAAACTATTGGCAAACCCTCCTATTACATATGCCACACATAGCCCTCACTATCAACTTTGTGTTTGCATGTTTTACCATCACAAAAGGACGTCTATTTTGAACCAACTAAACGTTTGCAACCTAGACTTTTTACATTTCAAACTGAAGTGCCTTCAGCATGAAGAGAGTTGCACTTTGGTCCAGTGGATGTTTTTTCTTGTAAGAAAGCACAGCTAGGTGTCTATAGAAATCTACAGAGAAAGAAGAGAATATGTGCTCTTAATTTATTATAAGCATTAGAAAGGGTAGGATTAAGGGGGATATGTTTTTCATCCTGTCATCTTGAATTCTCTTTCCAAATTCCATTCTGGTTATATGATCACGCTACTGCTGTATTTATGGGTGGCCACAGACTGCCTGGAGGGGTATATTTAGTCAGAAAGGAAGTGTTTTCCTTCTAAAGGCAGGCAAGAAGCAGAGAAGCATTCAGAAGGAACATGGCAGAATGTACCTCTGACTTGGTGATCACGGGGACCTGGGTGTGAAACCTGGTTCTATCACTTCGAGTTCTGGGACCTTAGTAAATTTATTCAGTTTTCCTGTTCTTGAAGCCATCTCTTTGTCCAACAGATACAGTCCACACCTCAGAGACATGCTGTGCATGATCCCACCAAGGGCTACAGTTTAGAAAGTAGGCTCATCGTATATTTTGGCTATCATTGTCATTAGAATTAATTAAAATAGACTGTCAAACGTTTTAAATTTCTCACATATTTTCCTGTCTATTGCACTATTTGTGGACTTGCTTTTACTTCTGTTACAGATGGTGATTCAGAGGCGCAAAAATCCTTGTTGAAGGGTAGAAGGGCAACCAGAATGCACGCAGCCTGGTTTCATGATTTGTAACTGTGTTTTTTTGTCATTGGACATTCTGTGGCAATGTCACAGAGGCTAAGAGCAAAGGTATAAGTTTTAGACCCTGTGACCTCACTTCAACCAAAGCAGCCCTGCATTTACCTGTCATATACTGGGGTTTTGCCGTAAATTCATGTAATGAATATTTCCATCTTTAAAGATAAGTTTAAAAATCATGGTATTAGAACATTAATCTTGGACAACTCCTTGTAAAATGATAAACAGAGAAAAGTTTCCATTTATTGAACCCTTAATATGTGGCAGGTACTATGCCAAGAGTTTGCCATATATTACGTCATTTGAATGTTGCAAGAGCCCTGTGAGACATAGTTTGTCATCTCCATTATATGAATGACAAAGCTGATGGCTGAAAGGTTAGTAACTTCTTAGGGTGGGGAAGGAGGAGGTTAGTGGGAGATAAAATAGAGAAACTAGGTTTTTAAAACAAAGCATAGAGGAAAAAGTATTTAATGACTGTAGAGCTTGGCAACATCCCTTTCAATCCTTGTCCAATTTACTCTGTTTGAGCAAACCAGAGAATACTCATATTGTGCACCTTTTTCTTCCCCCCGAAGCAGTCACCTTCCTGAAATGCAAGGGCCAAAGCACGCTAACTTACATATCCTGCAAATGGCTTGTATGTGCACAATGCCAGAAACTCTTCACTGGGTTATCTAGGACTGAATAAATCTTCAGTCCTGAATCGGGCTTGCCTGGGTGGGGTGGGTAGTAGTTTTCCTTTCTAAAGCACATATGGGAAAGCTCTGTAAAAATGGGGAAAAAAGTCTACAAAAACATGAAAAAGAGGCATTCATTCTTCAAGTGGGGCTCCCTGTCCTGCTCTCCCTCCGGACAGAAAGCTTTCCAAAGAGTTTCCAACAGCATCGTACTTCATAGCTGTCAGCTTTAGAATCTGCAGATGCCTAAACTCAAAACCTCCTGACATTCTGGAATCAGTATTTGACATTAACACCCAGCCCCGGGCTGCTACCTTTTCTCCAACCTGTGCCAACACAACCTCCTGCTTGTAAAATATAGCCAAGTCTCAGACCTGCCAGCCTGGTGAGACACCGTCAGATTGGGTGAGATAAAAAGTGGGGGTTGGGAGTGGGCTGAGGAACAATACACAAGAAACGATCCAACACTGGCTAAGTGCCTCTTTTAACTTCCAGAGTGATGGCAGTTTTTGGCAATGACAATGATTATCCAAACTTCCAGTTATTGAGCAATCACTGCTGATCTTTCTATACCTCATTTTCTCCTCAAAACGACAGCAGACGCTATTGTCCCCATTTTAGAGATGGGAAAACTGAGGACTAAGGAGGCAATGTATCTTTCTCAGGGTCGTATACATGGTGGTGGGGAGAATACCAAACACCTCTGGCTTCAAACATAAGCTCTTATTCCTCTTACAACACTGATGGGTGAGAAGAAACCCTGCATTCTTTCCAAAGTACACCAGGGGCAGTAGGGTTCCCATACCTGGGGGAAGTTGTTGCTCAGATCTTTCTGTGATGAGAAGTGAGGAGGAGGAGGTGATTCTAGAGACATGTGGGATGCTGCTGGCTCTAGGCACCCCAATAAAGCTGTTCTCCACCACTTTCTAGCTGCCTGTCAGTTACTCATCTGGCCCAGGAGCCACCTCCTCTCTTCTGTCCCCCAACTCTCATCTCCAGGGTGAATATTTTGAGGACCAAATGAGGGAATGGGTACAAAACTGTTTGTAAACTTTATGTAAGGTCTGTTTAGATGTAAACTTTTGTATTCTCCCTGCACTCCTCTATCAAAGTCCCTCTAACCCATCCCAGGGGCAGGCTATGAGCACACTCTACCTTAAAACTCTACTTCCCTAACCCTCAAAATGAAATATACATACAGGTGAATCAGTCAAGCTAGAAGTAGGGGGGAAGTTTAAGAGAAAATTCTTACTTTTCCTCTGCAGAACAGCTGAAGATAACAACTTTACAAAAAGTTCCTTCCAAGTCTGACTATTCATAAAGTTAAAACAAACAAAATTACAAAACCAGAACAGTCAAAGTGCATCTGATCACAACCAATACACACTCATTTTTTTTTTTTTTCCAGCAGCGGAAAAAAACAAACAAAAAAACCACCCAAACGTTTTATAATTATAATATAAAACCACAACTTATTTGGTACCAGGAATGCAATCTGTACATCATAAGGATCTCTAGTGATGAGGGAAAAACAGACTTACCTCTCTGATGGGGGAGAGACCTAGATCTTTGGAAGAAGTACCTGGAGTGGGAAGCAGCGGCGGTTCCCACGTGCGCGGTCCCGAGTCCCCCAGCCGCGCCGCCTTTGTGCCCACGGAGGCGGGGGGCGTGTGTCTGCGCGCGGGAGAGGCGGGTGACAGTAGGCAGGCTGTGGCCAGTGCAGCCAACTTTGGCTGGCTTATATAGCGAGCTCCTTCCTCTGTAATGGGACGCCTCGCCTCCAGACATCCTTTCCCACTTTTTCAGTTGGCGAATTAAAGGAACAGCCCTCCCAGCGGAACAGCGTTAGCTCATGAAAGACGCACTCACTCCTGGCTCTCGGCCAGGGAAGGAACCCATTTGCATACAATTTATGGAGAAAGTAGGAATTCCCGCTTCCCCTCCCGCCTCCCCGCCCCCGACCCGAGTAGTTGTTAGTGAAATGTGATTTTTGCTTTTTTCCCCACACGGGTTTTCTAATTGTGAGACGGATGCCCCGGGGAGCAAGAGGGAGCAGGATCCGCAGTCCTGGCTCCCCTCCTGTACTTGGTCAAGCTGGAAATGGGACCAGGGCTCGCCTAGGCTCTGGGCAGCAGCTGCTCAGTGGCACCTCGGAGTGAGTACAGGGACTGAGCCCAGTTCCTGGAAAGAGGAGATAAAGCCCTTCAAAAGCCTGGGGCGTTTCAGGTTTCTCTGGGCCAGCGGAGAGATAACCCAGGATTAGGTCTCAGCAGGTGGGGACCGTGCAGGAGGCTCATATCAGCCCTGCTTTTCTTATGTGGCAGCCAGCCTTGCCCAGCTGCTGGGAGGCATCTTTGTTCTAGCCCCAGTGTCCTACAGGGCAGTAGCTTTTTGACATTGTTCATGCCCTGTGCCTGGTGTGGTCTTCTCAGCTTGGGTCTCCAGGGGGAACGGTTTCTGAGGTTTTCTCTTAGTGCTGAAAGGCGTCCCGCACAGCCTTTTCTTTAAAGAAAAGCAATAATTAAAAAAGGTAACAACCTAATCCTCAAGCCATAAGCTGCGCCTTTGCTTTCCAGCCTGCCGTGGATTTCCTCCAAGCTCTGAGTCATTCGTTCATTTGGTGGTTAGCATGCGCTGAGTATCCGCAGGGCATACAGGGGCATTTAAGGGAGTGGAGAAGTAGCACTTCATCCGCGCCTAGAGACTTCTGAGCCTGTCACAGAGCATAGTAGTTTGTGACCGTGGAGGAAAATGAAACATCGAATGTAATTCAAAATGCAACTACCATTGAGCCCTCCCTTATTAAGTCTTTAATAAGGTGCTGTGCAGGGTACTTTATGAACACTATTTTTGTTCACGATTTTTATTATATCCTTGCAACCAGTAAGTAGGATAGGCACAAGTGTCTCTTTTTCACAGAAGAAAACTGAGGTTTAGAGAAGCAATGAAACTTCAACAAGGGAATACACCTGGGAAGTGTTTCTATTACAACACTGGGCTCCAGAGTTCTATTACACGTTACTATTTAGGAATAGGGTATGAGGATATTTAAGCAATGTTTTATGCTGTATTAGATTGTTAACACGATTTGTGTAGAAATCACAGCCATATTTGAATATGGAAAATATATTTCTTTGCTCCGTAAAGCTAATTAGGAGAGACCTTTGATTTTTTAAAAAATAGCTACTAACAATGGAGGTGTCAATTATTCACTTATTTTCAATATTAAATGATATCATCCCCACAGTTATTATTGTTGCTATGGGCCTCAGTTTCTCTGAAAAAAAAAAAAAAGACATGATTAGGTCATCCTACGGTGCTTTGGCTGTAGTATTTTAGGATTCTCTGCTAAAGTGACCCCTCCCAGAGAGCCAGAAAGCCCATAAATAGTCATGTCATAAAACTGCTCATTTGAACTTTTGATCCATTTTGGCTGATTCAAATGTTGGTTGTTTGGGAAGTTTTACATTCTGTGCTTTAGCCAAAGGATATTTCAGTAGCATGAAGCTGTGTCTCAACCAGCAGTGAGTGGTTCCATGCCTCCTGACTTTCCTAAGGCTACTGAGTTAAACTCTTGGGTTAGGGAGTAAAATATTAGAATAGTGTACAATATATTTCCTATGGTATATAAACTATATTTGCATATAACATATAATCAATATATTTATAATTCTATGTGAGTTTTTAAATAAGACAAGAGCACATGCTAGAAAACTAGATGATAGATATGGCTTTTTTGGGGAATGTCTCAAACTCGAACTCCTCTCCCCAGTTCTCTTAAGATTCTACAGTTATTGATTAGTGTCTACCACAAGTGGCATGGCCAATCACAGGGAAACTAAAGCCAAATATGTCCAGGCTGGCCCTCAAAGCAGGAAAAGGCTAGTGGAGGTGACAAACAGGAATACTATTGTGGATTAAGTTAACAGCTATCATATAAGTATATTCTGATAACATAGAGAAGAGATGATTTATGCATTTTTAGGAGAGGCTACTTGTAAAAGGTATTTTCTCCAAAAAACTATGTGGCATCTTAAGCTATATAGCTTTTTGGCATTTGAGTAAGGAGGGCCCAGACAAGGACGTGTTTTCCATCCCTGTACTGTTCACAGTGTCTGTTTCTGGTAGATGGGTCCATATGCACCATGTACTCTACAATACCCCCAACCTTTTTTCATGCTAGGATGATGCCCTAAGCTCCTCACTTCCATGTCCTCACATCTATTTATCATCCATTTCTGATCTGACTTCACTATGGAGCTTCCTAAGTGGAAGAAATCCATCTAGGAAGAAATGCTTCTATGCACTATGGCATTTGTAACTCTACTAGGACATCCATTGCATCAATGTGGTATAATTAAACATGTGCATGTCTAGATTTTCCTTCTAGACTCTAGGCTTCCTGAGGTTGGTGATCACACTTGCTTTTTCTGTACCTGGCATAGAGCCTTGGGTATCAGAGAAGCTCAGTAAATGTTTATAGAATGAATGAAGTAATGGAGGAACAAATAAATGTTTGACATGTTGTGCTTTATAATTAAATTCTTCCTTTTACAACCATAGAACCTGGATTATTGTATTCAATGCTTCCATCGCACAGATCAGAAAATGGGGCACTGAGAGGAAGAATGACTTGTCTGAAGCCACTATGCCTGCTTTCCAGGAAGAAAACTGTCACAGTCAGAACTGAGTAACCAAGCCACACTAGACATTACAGCAGAGGAAGTGTATGGAAATGAAGAACCATTTATCCTCCTGTTTGGCAGAGGCCATACCTCTTGGCATCTGATCCCTCATGGTTGCATCCTTCTCAGAAGCATAAGCACTTTTTTCCCAGTTGAGAGGGTAGAATGAATGCGTGTAAACACCACCTCTGCACAGAGCTTCCTGCCAAAGACTGATTTCATTGTTGCCTGTTTGCAATTTTCATTCAGGACTTGTTGGTGGAGGCTGTGGTTTGGAGGCCAGAGGAATGTCAGGGTTTGCCTCAGGTGAGATCATTCTCATTTCCTTAAAGGTCTGTTAAATGTAATACTTTTTCTTCCAGACAGAACAGCCAATGAGTGGAATTTTGGCCAGGACTAGTGCTGAGGAAGCTGAGTGTCCCCTTCCCCATGGAATCCCCTGCTTCCTACTCTGATTACGTACTCCTTCACTGTTCCCAACCTCCTCCTCCTCTTCTCAGGATTCATCTCATCTGGTGTGCTAACGCCGGTCCAAAAGCCTCATGTAACTCCATAATCACCAGAAATCTTTTCCAAAGCCAGGATGGATCTCTGATCCCACACAGTGGGCCAGTCATTTAATTAAATGCATTTCGTTAGAGTCAAGGTTTCCCAACTTGCTTACAGATCATGGTTGAGTGGTCTTCTTTTCATCTGTTCTCACTTTTCCTTAGAAAACAAAGGACAAAATCAAGGTCAAAGACCATATGGAGTGTGTGGCAAGACATATGAGAGCGTCCCTGATGGATGGACTATGGCAATTTAGCTGCACCATCAACCAAGAAGCCATGCCTGGTCAGCAGAGCAGAGTGGAGAGCGTTGGTTAAGTGTCCAAATCTTGATGCTGCATCAATTCGCTGTGTGACTTTGGGAAAATCCCTTTCCCCGCTGACCCCCAGGGTCCTGGTTACCAAGTGGGGAATTCCCAGGGATTATAGAAACTCAAAACTCTCAAGTAAAATCTTTAAAGAAATAATTTAGAAGTCTCCAAGCCTTTGCACATTCACTTCCCTAGGAAGAACACTGCCTTATTGCCATGACAAATTCCTTATTATTTTTTTTTCAAGAGTTCCTTCATACTCTTCTAACAAAGTTTTTAATGACCTTCACATCCAGAGAGAAGGGTCTCTCCTTCATGCTCATCCACACCACCATTTTTTAACTTTTGGCATATTGCACGTTTTTTTTTCCATTGCCTGTTTACCCTGCTAGATCATGGACACCTGAGGATAGGCACTGTGCCTTTCTGTCTGTTTGTCAGCAGTTCTGTTTGTTGCCAGCATCTGTTGATGGCTGCTGCCTATGCCATATTATTTGTTAATTATTTTGAATATTGTTCCTGCATATCATAGTTTTTAGAATAGCATATGACCTGTCGCAGATTTTGGAGGTAAGCAATAAAAACATTCTTGAAGTGACTTTTATGAAATGATTAGAAACCTTAACTGTGATCATCGATTTACTCATTCATTTGCCCAGCTGGTCTGTGAGGACTCCTTGAGGGCAAGGACTGTGCTTTTCGCCTGTACAGACCCAAAACACTTGGAAGTCTATTAATGTTCCCTTGAAATGATTGACTGATCAACTAATTGGCTGCATAGTGGAAAATATATGATATTACCACACAGTTTTGTGTTCTATTTGGCCCAACTGCTTTCAATGTGAATTACCTTGAGAAAAGCATGTCCCCTCTCTTAAGCTCCTCTTCTTCTTGGGATTCATCTGGTTTCCTGTTTTATAAAACTGAGATAAAAATCTGTACCTTGAGTACCTTTCAAAATTGGTATGAAGACCAAGAAAGAGGGTATAAGCAAAGTGCTTAGCAAACTGGGATGCCCTATGTAGAGTTTTTTGATGCTAAATGATGTGGTTCCCTTCCCCGCCCCACAACCCCCAAATCCCAAAAGATAGCTCAATCTCTCCATAGCTGTATTGTGCTTATGAAAGCATGGAACCCCCACTTCTATCTGAAACGCTTCTGGGCTTTACAGGGACTAGCAGCAGGAAGAGGGGAGTTGAAGCCACCTGGTGCTGTCTTGTTAAAACATTCTAAAGACTGCCTCTTTGGAGGTTGAAGGGAAAGAGGGAGAATTTAAAAAACTAGCATTGCCCAAGCTAAATTAGAAGATCTGGAGTTGTATATTTCCAACAGAGGGATGGGGAGGCAGTTTTGATCATGTTTACCGGTCTGAGCTCAGGCTGTGGTGATGAATACAAATGGGTCAAACCATCTTGGGCTTAATGCAGGTCACAGAGGGAATATATAGCTTTGAAATCAATGCAAATTGAATTTCTTTCTTTGATTTTCCACAGCTGGGTTGGATACTTGTGAGGAAATATAATTTGCTTCTTTTCCTTCTCTCTTAGGTTTCTTAAGATTT